GCAGTGCAGGGAATCAGCCACAGTGAAGCAACCCAGAGGTCTGCAAGCACAAGAAGCCAGTACAACCCTTGACACAGACGGTGGAGGACGAAAAGGTACCAGGAGGAGCGGGCCATCCAGTGATGCTTGGAACCTCAAAAGTCCACTCCTCATGGAGAGAGAAAGATACAACCTGGTTTCTCCCTTCTGGGTCCACTCCCATCTCCTGACAGCACCTCCACTGGCCAAACCCAATCAGCAAACCCAGCACCTGGAAACTCACCCTTCCACTCACAGCAGAGTAGCGGAAGAACAAGGCTGGATCTGAGGGCACACAGATGAAAACAGGCACGCCCATGCCGGGTTTTGTTTTTTCACAGAATCAGCACTTTACGGCTCCCTTAAATAGTAAATCCCCTATTACCTTTAGATTAATTTGATTTAACAGAAATAGAATTTAAAATCATGTATTTCCTTCCTTTGTTCCCTCCCTCCCTCCTTTCTTTCCTTCCTTCCTCCCTTCCTCCCTCCTTCCCTCCCTTCCTTCCTTCCTTCCTTCCCATTTTTTTGACACAGGCTTCACTCGGGTCACCGAGGCTGGAGTGCAGTGGTGATCATGGCTCACTGCAACCTCCCCTCCTGGGCTCCAGGGATCTTACCACCTCAGCCTCACAAATAGCTGGGACTGCAGGTATGTACCATCATGCCCAGCTTATTTTATTTTTATTTTGCAGAGTCAGTGTTTTGCCATGTTGCCCAGGCTGATTTCATGCTCCTGAGCTCAAGCTATCTGCCTGCCTTGGCCATTTTTTCTTTCTTTCTTTCTTCTTCTTCTTCTTCTTTTTTTGAGTGATTTTAAAAACACCTATTATGCACGCAGATAGCTCTTTATACCTGTAACTCACTGAATACTGGAAAACAAAGAAAGCATTATTGGCTGGGCTGGGTGTTGCATGCCTGTAGTCCCAGCTACTTGGGAGGCTGAGGTGGGATGATGGCTTAAGCCCAGGAAGTTCGAGTTCAGTCTGCGCAACATAGCAAGACCCTATCTCTTTAAAAAAAAGGAAGAAAAAAGAAAATTGAAAGCATTGATTGAATACTTCCTTATGAAGGGCTTGTAGTCCTATTTGCCAGGCTAATAATAATAAGGAGGATGAATTTTATCTGACTTATTACATGAAAGCAAGAGAAGCTGGCTGCAAATCCTATGGTCATCAAGCTACTGCCTTTGGAAGACTAACGTATTGAAACATTTTTGGGGCGGCCCTTCCCCTGAGTGTATACGGTATGAGAAGCTGGCAAGCTTGTGCTGAGAGTCTTGGCCATAATTCTTTGGAAATGTGAGGATGGGAGACTTCTGGGTCTCTGGAGGTTCTAGGCAGAGGTCAATTGTGCTCTGGCCCGACCGCGGCCCCTCTTCTTTAGGGAAGGGGAGAACTAGAGCGCCCTCTGGGGACAGCCGGTCCGGCGCGCTCGGTGGCCGACACCTAGCAAGCCTTTCGACTGTGCGGTTAGGCGAGGTCTCAGGCCCCCTGAGCTCAGGCCAGGGCGAGGCAGGACGACTTCCGGGGGCAGGGCTCTCCTGACTTACAGGATTACAAAAAAAAAAGAGTTCATCCTGGATTTTTTGAAGTAGATGGCTAAGTAGGGTAAATCTGTGGTTAAGATCACAGACTTTGGAGTCGATTCTTTTTCCTTTTATTTTTGCGAGTCGGCCACCTCTTCTCTGTCCCTGCTCCCACTGCCCCCTCAGCGCGCATATTGCCACCGACACTCGCAGCTACAGCGGCCCACCTGCCTCTCCTCCAGGCTGCTGCGCCCGGGGTCTTTCTGAGCACATCAGATCATTTTGCTCAGAATCCCCCAGTGGCTCCCGCCTCTAGGGTAAGGTCCAACGGCCTTGGCAGGATATTTGGTGCCACGCACCCTCCAGTCTCTCCTCTAATCCCTACCCTACCTGCCTCCCCACCTAGGGGCCCTGCTCTCTGCAGGCTCTACTGTGTCCTGGGCCCTCAGCGGCGAGACCAACCTGTCCTTACAGGAAAATGCAAACCTTCCCAGACGGGGTTACGCTTCAGCCCTCGCGACTTGGAATTATTACCTGCCCCTCTGCCTCCCGCAATGCCAGGGCTATAGCACAGGCTGGCGCTTATAGGGGCACTGGCCAACATCCAACGCCTGGGACATAAACTGCACCCAATGGGATGTGAACAGTACTTTACAGTTTGCACGGTATGTTCTGGTATTTGCTCTATGTTCACACACACTCAAGTGGCAGTACGTTTTAATGATGTAGGCGAGGGAACTGGGGCTCAGAAAGGTCTAGTGCTTTGCGCATGGGAGACAAGTGGTAGAACCGGTGCCGGGGCTCCAGGTTCTCTGAGATGAAAGTCTGCAGGACTCGGAATCCTGTGGATCTGAGTTTAAACCCGCTCAGCCAGGGACTGGGTGAGGCATCGCAGGCAAGCGACTTTACCTCCCTGCGCCGGTGCTCTCGTCCTTACCAAAGCCAGCAATTCCAATCCGGGATTGTGGTGAGGCTTAAATAAAGCAATGCCCATTAAGTGGCCAGCAGGCCTGGTTCACAGCCGGAACTATAAATGTGAGTTCTCTTTCTGACCCTCAGCTTGGCGAGGGCTCCTCCTGTTTCGGCAGCAGCTCCTCCTCCTCTGAGCTCCCGAGGCCACGGGGGTGCCAACTGTGGAGGGCCTGCGGTGCTCGTTCTGACGCGAGAGCTGCGTCGGGTACCAGCGATCCTTAAGGAGCGCGGGGACCAGGGGCACAGGTTGGAGAGGACAGCGGGAGAGGGGACCGGGCTCGGGGAGGCGGGTGGAGGATGGAGGGGCCTGAGGGGGGCGTTGTCAGCCGCGGCACAAACCTTTCCCTAGTGGGCGCCGCCGCCCCTTACCATTTCACCTCCGCCTCTTCCCCTCCTCCCTAGCTCCTGACCGCGTCTCTAGGGCCTCAAAAAGAAAGGAGGGTCCCCGGTAGGGCGCGTGGATCCAGCCTACGCATGCCCCCAAGAGCCCGCCCCTGCCCGGTGCCCGCCCCGCCCCTGCCCGGTGCCCGCCCCGCCCCTGCCCGGTGCCCGCCCCCTGGGAAGCGCAGGCCCCGCCCCTGCCCTCGCCCCCTCCCCCGCACGGCGCCGGCTGGCGAGAGGCGGGGCATGCGCACCCGCGGCGGGCGAGGGCGCTGGGCTGCTGGGCGCGCGCGTGCGGCTTCTCTCAGTCGGGAGCGGTGGGGGCGGGCGCGGGCCGGCGGTGGGCGGGGTGCGGGACGCCGGAGCCGGGTGCGCGCCGCCAGCACCGCCGCTGCACCGGTGCCCGCGAGCCCAGAGCGCGGGGTCCGGGGATGCGAGCGGCCGGGAGCCGCGGCGCTGCTGAGACGGGAGAACTCGATCCGCGGTGACCTCAGCTAGGGGCGAGCGCGGCGGCGGCGGCGGCGAGCCCCACGGGAATCCTCCGGGCCGGGGTGCGGGGGGGTAGTGGGGTGACGGCGGGAACGCGGGGCGCAGCCCGGGCGGGGCTGGGACAGTGATGAGCGAGCGCGCGGGGAGGCTGCACGCCGCCGCCGCCGCCTCCCGGAGCATCTGCCGCCCGAGCTGCTGCCCGCGGGCCCGGCCATGGAGACACTGAACGGCCCCGCGGGCGGAGGCGCCCCGGACGCGAAGCCGCAGCCTCCGGGCCAGCACCACCGCCACCACCACCTCCACCCGCTGGCCGAGAGGCGGCGGCTGCACCGCGCGCCCTCGCCCGCCAGACCCTTCCTCAAGGACCTGCACGCCCGGCCCTCTGCGCCCTGCCCGGCGGTCCCCTCCTCCGGCCGAGCCGCGGCGCCCGCCGCCCTGCGCTCGCCCAATCTCGTGGGCAAGGCGCCTCCCTCGCCGGGGTCCCTGGCGGCGCCCGGCCGCGTCTCCCGGCGCAGCGGCGGTGTCCCGGGCGCAAAGGACAAGCCCCCACCGGGAGCTGGGGTCAGAGCGGCGGGCGGTGCCAAGGCTGCCTTGGGAAGCAGGAAGGCGGCGCGCGTGGCGCCCGCGGAGCCGTTGTCCCGGGCTGGGAAGCCTCCCGGAGCCGAGCCGCCGCCCGCCGCTACCAAGGGCCGCAAAGCCAAGCGCGGCTCCCGGGCGCCCCCCGCCCGCACCATCGGTCCTCTGACCCCGGCTGCCCGGATCCCCGCCGTGACCCTCGCGGTGACCTCGGTGGCCGGCTCCCCGGCCCGCGGCTCGCGCATCAGCCACACTGACAGCAGCTCCGACCTCTCCGACTGCCCCTCCGAACCCCTGTCGGACGAGCAGCGCCTGCTGCCTGCAGCTAGCAGCGATGCCGAATCCGGCACAGGCTCCAGCGACAGAGAACCCCCGCGAGGAGCACCGACGCCGAGCCCGGTAGCCCGGGGAGCGCCGCCGAGCAGCCCCGAGCCCCCCTCACTCCTCGCCGCGCCTCTCGCCGCCAGCGCTTGTCCCGGGGGCCGGAGCATCCCGGGCGGGGTTTCCGGGGGGTTCGCGGGGCCCGGCACGGCGGAGGATGCCAGGGGGCGCGGACCGCTGGAGCGACCCGTCCCCGGGACCCCCAGGGAGCTCAGCCTGGGCGAGCAGCCTCGACTTGTGCCGGCGGCAGAGGAAGAGGAGCTGCTGCGGGAGATGGAGGAGCTGCGCTCAGAGAATGACTATCTCAAGGTGAGCGGCGCCTTGGCGGCAGGTGTTCCAGGGCGCCCTGGGAGGGCCTGGCTGCGGCGGGGACCGCCAACCCCGCCTTCCCGGGCCTATTCAGAGCCTTTTCCCTCCTGCCTTCCGCGGTCCTGCCCTCGCATTGTCAGGCATTGGGAACTTAAGCCCAAACTTCTGGAAGGAGCAGCAAACCTGTGGGTCCCCTCCAGTTCCCAAACCCACTTCGTTTTTTGTCGCGTCCAGAAGTCTTGCGTCTCTTCGCTGATTCTTTTACTTTTGTTGACCTGTTGGGGCAGTAGTCGTTTTGGGGACATCAGCCGACACCCTCATCCCCGCTGAGACGTGCCAGCCTCACCTGTGGGAACAGGTGATCCTTAGCCATGGACCTCTGGCCTGACACGTGCCGGTGTGGCGGTTCAGGACGGTGCCACGGGGGGACAGGCCCTGCTGCGGAGCCGCCCACCCCCTCTCCTGCAATTACGGAAATAGCTGGGGGCACTTAGGGTCTCCTGGGCTCCCACAGCCTGGGTAGAGGGGCCGCATCGTTTTCGGTGATCAAGATGAAGTTCAGGAGAGGTTTCTGGAGTGTGGCCGGGTTGAGGAGTAGCGGTGTTGTGCGGGCCAGTCCTTTGTAAGCACCCCGGAGCCGGCTTTCTGTGTCAGGAGAGGCCACGCCAGCACTTTCTAAGGAATCGCTGCGCCTGCCGCATTCTGAGTATTTTCCCGCAGGGCCTGCGGGCAGTGGCCTCTTAGTCTCCTTAGCACTGGGTGCTTAATCCGGCTCCATCTTTTCTCCTTGGCATGGGGCTGGCGCTGCATACGGGATTCCCGGGGTTAGAACGATCCAGGTGACTTGAGAGAAAATACGGAGAGTTGTATTGATGACAACTGTTTTATTTATTGTAATCCTCAGGTTAGTAAACTACTCTGGTGGCATAAATCTGTTTATCTGTTAAGTCTTAATGAGCAGCCTCCAAACCCAGTAGGGTGGCCCTGCTTCTTCAGTGGGTTGTGTTATTTGAGTTGTTTTCTCAGCAAATGATAAGCCTAACCACTACGGGCCCAGTTTTTAGCTAGGGAGTCTGAGGATTGGGTTTTAAGGTAAATGGTGGTGAAGTATGCAGTTCACAGGGAAATCAGAGGACATTAATTGCTGGGTGGCCCCCAAGCCTAAATTTCTTATGGAGCTGTTCCAGCCAGCTGAGCCCTGTAGTTATTTTACTTTGTGCAAGAAGTAACAGGCACAGAAAGAGAGCTGGTAAAAGATGGACTTATGGCAAAATGTTTCAGATGGTATGGTTTTCTCACATACTCTTAGGTAATAGACAACAGAGTGAAGTTCAAAGGCAACTATGTTGCGAATGACTCCATCATCAAAGCAGCACTTTTGTAAATCTTCAACAAATGTAAGCTTTCTGAGGGTGACAAGATAATCTTGTTTTTGTATACCCACCCCACCCCCCACATAACCCCTGACTTACAGGGTTTCTGATTAAATGGTGTTTATCCAAATGACTGCTATGCAAGGGAAAATTGAGTTTCTTTAAAGAAACTTCTCATTATATTTTTGATCTTAAGATAGGCAGTCCATCGTTTTAAAGTTCATTCTTCGTTCAACTGGTTATTTGCTTTATTTTTTCATGTTGTTAGATTCTCAATGAATGAAACATGTTTGAGCCTGGAGTCTGATGCAGTGTATTTGATATTTCAGTGGATCTTCACAACAACATAGGTTGTTGATGGTGGTATCATGGTCATAACTACTGTTTCACAGACGGAAATGCTGAGAACCTAAAACAGAAATGACTTGTCCAAGGTCATACAGTAAGTGGTGGCACCCGCGATTCCCCAGAGCCTCTGTGCCTTCTGCACTGGGATGCAGCCCTATTTCCAGGGAGGCTGCTTTCCTCTGAGCACACTGCTTCTGAGTTGTCTTCATAGCTCAAAGTGTTCCTTGTGGTCAGCTTTCCTAGGGGCCCTCTGTTTTCTTTTCAGGTGAGAGGGCCATCATACCCTTCCCTCCACTAGCCTGCGTATGAATGGCCACATAAATCCCACTGCCAGTGTTTCATTTGTGGGGACTGTTCAGTTGCCATTTACTGTGGAGAAAGGTGTCACTTGCATCCATTTACTCTTCCTGAGCCCACCTCCCCACCCTTCCTCCAACAGCAGGGGAAAGAAGAGGGTGCAGCGGTCTGAAAGAGGCTAGCAAACCCGATGATTGCGTGTATGCATGTGAGGTACTCGCGTGGTCACTCAGAAGCTTAAATGACAATAGTTCAATTCAGGAAAGAAACATAAGGATCCTAGTGGACTTTTCCACAGGTCATAGAGCCTGCCCACTTGTGTAAAATTGGACCCAGAGCTTCAGGGACCCTATGGGGCAGGGACAGTAGTCATACTTTTGAAGTGGTGGTTAGCGTGTACCCTTTATAAATCAAAACTTCTCTTTTTTGTTATTTTCTTTCTTTCATTTTTTTAAGAGACAGGGTCTTGCTTTGTGGCCCAGGCTGGAGTGCAGTGGCATGATCATAGCTCAATGCAACCTTGAACCTGTGGGCTCAAGTGATCTTCTTGCCTCAACCTGCTGAGTAGCTGGGTCTACAGGTACACGACACCAAATTGGGCTAATTTTTAAATTTTTTATAGAGACAGGGTCTAGCTATGTTGTCCAGGCTTATCTTGAACTTCTGGCTTCAAGTGATCCTCCCCTCTTGCCCTCCAAAGTGCTAGGATTACAGGTTTGAGCCTCTGTGTCCTGTAGGGGTACTTTTTAAAAAGGGTAGATACAAGTGCATCCCTGACCCTCTGCTTTGTTAAGGAGCGCTGCACAGAACTAACTCTCAGGATTAGATTCAGCATCCATCTATTTCAATGTATCTAACAAGAAGCTCGGCCCACAAATTTTACATTGCTATATTCTGGAGGATTCCAAGTAAGTGCCGTCACCATTGTTGTAGAAGACTGTCACAGTTTCTGAACTAGAATGACCAAAGCCTAATTCAGCAGAAAAGTAAGTCCAGCAAAACCTTAGGAGGATGTCTTATGGATCAGGACATTTAAGTGGAATTCTCTTGGCTTTTAGCCAGCCTGCTGTATTTTTCATTTTATTTTATTTTATTTTATTGAGATGGAGTCTTGCTGTGTTGCCCAGACTGGAGTGCAGTGGTGCAGTCTCGGCTCACTGCAACCTCCGCCTCCCAGGTTCAAGCAATTCTCCTGTCTCAGCCTCCCGAGTAGCTGGTATTAGAAGTGCCTGCCACCATGTCCAGCTAATTTTCGTATTTTTAGTAGAGGCTGAGTTTCATTATGTTGGCCGGGCTGATCTTGAACTCCCTTCCTCTGGTGATTGCCTGCCTCAGCCTCCCAAAGTGTTGGGATTACAGGTATGAGCCACCACGCCGGGCCTGGCCTGTATTTTTAAAAATAGCAAATATCAATAGAAAAGCAGGCACCTTCTGTTGTGCTGTAATGGAGCGAATTTGGGCGTCCTTGACTCTGCTTTCTGTTCCTTCTCCACCTTCATCAAATGGTGCCTGAGTGACTAGGTGAAAAATGCAAAAAATAAAAATAAAAAATAAAACAAAATAAAAAAAAATCCTCAATCCAGGTAGCTGGCTTTTGCTTGAAAACACAGACAGAAAAGCACTGTTGTTGTCCTTTGACCTCTGATAAACTCAAATACATTTGGAAGTATTCATACATTCAGCTGAGTGCTTCAGTTGAGTTATCCAAAGGCCTTGACTTCTTTCTCACTTAAAACCTAGGCATTTTCTTAATGTTGAGGACTGTGGTAAAGTGCTGGTGTGTTCCTTCCCTGCCAGGTGTCCAGGACTGTGTTTTGCTTGAGTGCTCTGAGACAATCAGACAAGCCAGAGTGCTTATTGTCAACATATTAATTATGTTCTCTGTTTCTACAGGCTTTTCAGGCAGATTTAATCACTTGGCACTTACTAGCCTGTTTTGAAAATGCTTTTAGTGGTCATAACCCACAACTCCCCCACCCCAAAATAGTATCCTCTTGCCATGCTGACCTCCTGCAGAGTGGGTGAGGATTGGGGTGGGAAGAGCTGTTTGTTTTTGCTCTGCTTTCTCAGTTATTTCATAAGAATTGTTTTTTGTTAAAACAGGTTGGTGCTAGCTACAAGGGCAGATAAAATTGGCTTCTTGGAGAGGAACGATTTCCTAAGGGAGAGGTTGAGCTTTGGTTTTATAGGTTGCAGTGTCTCACTGCTGATCCAAGCTTACCATCCTACTTCTCATTTGTGGTAGCCTTTTGAGTTTCAAGCGCTGACCTGGTTTGTGACATTTGGCTGCTGGGCTGCCCAGGTGCCAGGTGCTTAATGTGGTCTGCAGGGCGGCACTTGGAGAGGAGCGCAAGTGGTGCTCTGCAGCCGAGGTGTCTCAGCACCCCCTTGCTCCCCACCTCCTCCTCCTGCCTCTTTTGGAAGGGTTAACATGGACAGTATTCCCCATTCTTTCTTTACATTCACTGTCCATACCCACTCTGTATTCAGCTAGTGAAAGAGCAGCTATGATCATTTTCAGTGGCAAGCTAATGTAGACAAGGGCCGTGGCCACCAGCTGCTGGCTGGACCATCACCTGGTAGACAGGGGGAGTGGCCCTGCACCTCCTTGGCTACAGCTGGGACTCTTAGAGAACATTTTCCTTGTCTGGAGGGAGATGAGGTGGATTATTTGTATGTTACAAAAGACAGGAGTTTTTGTCTGCCCGGAAGATAGAATTATTGCAGCAGTAGCCAGATGCATGCTTCTACCATCCAAATGGAGTCTATTTAAAGAGGAAGTACTAAAATAGAGATAATTACTGATTTTGGGTATTTAAAAGAGATTAAGATTTTCATATAATTATTAATATGATCAAGAGTTTTTATCATTTATTCTAAGAAGCTGTGGATTCGGTTTTTATTATATATTCATGGATAAAACTATCCTTTAGAGGTTTTCATCGAAACGTGTAATTTTAATCTTGGTTTACTCTAGTGTACACATGGTACCTTAGTATTCCTCTAATTTGAGATATATGATAAGGCTTGATTTGTCAACCATAGGCAACAGGGAATAGTCGACTGGGCAGCTTCACAGTACTTCAAGATTTCATTTTATATACAAAACTTAAAAAGATATTTAGTTAAAACTGGGTTAGCTTTTCAATGAGATAATGATCTTAAGTATTCTCCAGACTTGATGTTAATTCGGTGAAAAACTGTTGATTAAGGACAGTTTTTTCTTATTAATTTCTGTGTATGAAAAGACAACAGCAATTTTCCAATTTTATTTACTATCTCTAAATTACACCTGTCAGAAACATCATATGCTCTGCTTGATTTGGTTTTCTTAAATTTTTAGTTGGCAGATGTTGTTAAGGTTCTGCACTACAGTTTTCTAAATTGGAGCATGCTGCCAGAAAATTAATGTAATGTTAGTTTAAAAATCACTATCCATCATGACCTTAATGCCAGTAATCATACTTTTTGCTTTTTAAATGGCTGCTGCCAGCTTACATAGTTTATAATTTGCTTTTCTTAAACTTCTTTTCACTGAACCTGAAAATTACTTTTTTCTAGGCTCCCTGGGAAGACTTGAAACACTGGCCCTGGTACTATCTCTGCAACAGAGCTATGATGGAAAGCCATTTATACTTTTAGAATCTCAGTTTCTTCATTTTAAGATGGGAATATTAACCAGGCATGGTCGCATGTGCTTGTAGTCCCAGCTACTCAGGAGGCTGAGGCGGGAAGGTCACTTGAGCCCAGGAGCTCAAGGTGGTAGTGAGTGGTGGTTGCACCACCAGGTTGGATCACAGGGTGAGACCCTGTCTCTTTAAAGAAAACTGGGGGAGGAGGGGCATGAATGTCTTTGTGCACACTGCAGTGTTTTCCT